CCGCGCGCGGCCTGAGCGAGGCGGCCGCGTTGGAGGAGCCGCGCAAGCGAAACTTGCGACTCTCAGGTTGAAAAGCCCTGTACACTGTTTTGTAGCGGTTGGGACGCTGATTCCAATTCTACCTTTGCTATCTGCTGCGGGCTTCTGGGCGAGGAATTATGGAGGTTTTTTGAGCAAAAATCTGAGTGCAAGAATAGGGTAAAATCAGTCGTAAGTTTTTCCCAACGTTCAAATGAAGCAGCAGCGAGTTGGTATATTTGAATCAAGACTATATGTTGCACCGAGTGACCCGACTACTAATTAAGCCCTATAAAAAATGTTACGACTGATTTTAGCCTACTCTTGCATTCAGATTTTTACTCACAAAAACTTTCATAACTCCTCGCCCAGAAGCCCGCAGCAGATAGCGAAGGCAGATTTGGAGTCAGCGTTCCCAGCTCTACAAGGCAGTGTAAATCTCATTTCAAAAGGCCACTTCGACCAACCTTCCTTTCCTTGTAAGTAAACAAGAAATCGATACCTGTGGCCTGCTCCGAGGCTTGATTTTAGGGCAGAGAGTTTCAGCCTCACAAGTCCACTTGGAAAAATTTGCATTTGGAACATAAACTCACACAGACATAACCTTTGATTCAACTGGCTTGCTTCTGAAAGGCGGGCTTTGTGATCTAATTAAGGCGGCCCGCGCCCGCGATGCGCCTGCGTCTCCCTTGCGCGAGTGCTCATCACTATCTAGCCTTAATTAGGAACCCTGCCTTCCGGAATCCAAGCCAGTTGAATCAAATGGTACACACTTTGAGTTTGATATATATGTGGATTAATCATTCACAAATAAAACTCAACAGTTGCACAGATTCGATTCCATGTAGGCTACGTGATGGGACTCATTTCTCTGGGTGGCTTCCTCCTTGTTCCGCTGTTACAATTATTATCATGTTTTCTTCACATGTACAATCGCTATATCGCCCACCATCGGTCGCAGGAACTCAAGAACTGGGGTTGTGCGCGTACGCCTGCATACGGCGGAAATGATATTCAAGAAAATGTAGCCTTTTAGGCATTTGGACGCTCCTTTCTGTATGATCATTCCTCTTGCTTGAAATTCAGATTCGTCTGGAGTTCTTGTCTCAATTACAGGGGCATTTCAGTTGACGGCTTGTCCATCGCATGATGAGTATTCGAGTATGACATGTATGGTTTTTATGTATAGATTTAGGAACGGTCATCCATTTTAAGACTAAGAATTGCAAAACGCACACATGTAATCAATACTTGCTACTTCTATTCTACCGCATATGATATGGAATATACAAATCGAAGAAAATTTGAGACTATCAAACAACGTGTGCAATCCGCCCTATTGCCTTGATTTCATGAGTACAAGACGCACCTGATTTTTTCTAAACTCGATTAGCCAGAACACACAAATAAATTTCGCGACGAAAGGACCCCATTCCGTGCTGTGTATTGCCTGAAGGTATCGTGCGGCATAAATTTCGTCTTCCGAAACACAAAATGCGGCTGGGGAACTCGCTTGAAAAATCGAAGAAGTTGCTTCTTGTACTTGTGAAATTAGGGCGTGCATAGGGTTTATCCGCCTTTTTTACTCGTTTGATTTTACTGTTAGATAGAGAAAGTGAGACTACAGTGATTTAGGGCCGCATACATTGACACCCCTGCCGGGTAGGAGATCGCAGCTTCAGAAAAAAGCTTCATATCCTGAAGCTCTGAATATCTGGATTTCACACTGTCTACCTCCATAAGTACTCCCACCATCCTTCACTATGAACATCCTGAACGGGAGCAAGAAGCTGTACAAGCCGCATTTTTCAGCTTTTTGTTCGATTCCCTGATGATCCCTGGCTGCCAGCCGTCTTTTCTGTAAAGTCATTTTTCTTTTTCGAAGTCAATGAAAACATTTCATTTGTGCTGTTTATCTAGCCCAACAGTGCTAATCATGTTTCTGGTAAAAACAAGTGATGTTTCGAAGTCATGAAATTATCAAGGAACCACAAGTTGAAAGTTGGGGTTTATCGAAAAATCAATATTCCAAAAACTCATTCTTATCAGCGACATGCTTAGCACTGTTGGGTTATAATCCATGTTAATTACCTGTTCCTTTTTCCGCAAGCGCAAGAGCTTCGCGCCGCGTTCGCGCGCGTATGGCTCGGGCACTCAAATTGGCCTCATCGATTGGTGGCCCGCGCGCGGGCTCTTGCGTCGTGCATGCGTAGTCCCCATGCGAAAGGGAGTACGTAATTGACATCGACTGTAGATATCAGTACGACTCCGGAAGGTTTTCGTTAACTTTAAAGGGGGTGTTGACTTTGAATAAAAGACTTCGTCTGCGGGGGATCATCAGAGGATCATACAAAAAGCTGTAAAATGCGGCTTGTATAGCTTTTTGCTCCCGTTCAATATGTTCATAGTGAAGTTTGGTGGAAGTACTTACGGATAGGTAGACAGCGTGAAATCCAGATATCTGGAGCTTCAGGACATGAAGCTTTTTTCTAAAGCTGCGATCCTCTCTCCGACATGTTAATGCGTGCGGCCCTTAATTTTGTTTGCTATATTGATGACCAGTGCGTCACCTCTGCTTCGCAAAGGCTCGCACTGGTCTCACTTCATATGCCTTACCCATTCTTGACTAAAGGTGGCAATGAAACTCACCACGCAGTGCCGATTATCGCAAGTAAAATGTAAACAACTACCCATTTAAAATGCTTTCTCATGTGAGATCGGTGATTTCGCGTGGATGAAACTTTTCGCAGAAGAACAAATACAAATTTGAAAAGGTTTTTGGAATCTTTCTGGTTTGGTAGCTACCATAAGGACAGTAGGCAACGTGAGCTACATCTCTGTGCAAATGTTTCTCGAATGCTCAGGTAAAACCATGGCAAATTAATCATTTACGCAACCATTTCTTTTTGGCGTCGTTCTCCTAAAGTAATGAACTTTTGCCCACTTTTTTGGACTTTAGTCCATGGCTTGCACATCAGCATGCCAAACACATCACCGACTTTGCAAAAAGTGGTGATACGGAACCAATTTTGCTGGCCAGAACCCAAGTGGTTCCGTTTGACGCGCAGTTTCTGAGGGATCCATTCAACAAAACCACTCGTGCTTTTCCATGGTAGGCTCCTATGTTGGTCGCATGCGATGTGCAAAATTTGGGCTCAGGACTTTGGCTGGAACTCGCTCTACGAATTTCGTTACAGACAGACACACAGACATACATACACACACACAAAAACACGTAAACAACCTTAGCCCGTTATTATAAGTTATGATAGGGAAAGCAAAGACTGGCAAAGGCACTGATGTGTCTTAAATATGAGAAACATCATATAATCCACTCGCATATCGTGCATCCCTCAGGATTGTTCCTATATGAATCATCAACGTGGCTGCCTTTCGACCATTTCAACGTGTCAATTTTACCAGCAAGTTAAAGGCGTTTGTTTGAAGCTGACATGTCAAAATGATTGAAAGACAGTCACGCTGATGGTTCATTTGGGAACATTTCTGGGATGACCATATGTAAGGAAGATCTAAGACACGTACGAACAAGAAACAGTTGAAATAGCGATGGGTCGAGTTGGCCACAGCTAATCGCCAGACGCCTTAGGGCTCGCGTACTATTTTCGCTGCCTGTCTCGCGCTTGCCCAGCCTCAGCTCGTGCGATCCCACGACCGATGTTGGGTGATGTAGCCTACCTTACATTGCAGCTTAGGCTGCGTTCATGCTAAACCGGAAGTTCGGGAACAGTCCAGCACAGCGCTCAGTTCGAGCGTTGTGTTGGAACTGTTCCCGAACATCCGGATCAGTATGAACTCGGCCTCAAAGGCAGCGTCCAGGCAAATCTGGACATATGTGGCTTTCACGTGGAAAGTAATCTTGAGGCCCTAAATAAGACTTTGCCCAAGCGGCAGCTCAAATAGTGCACTCCCGGTTAAGATATTGGGCTCCAAACTATGCCCCGTGACCGTGTTCGCATGGATTCATGGCTCGGCACATCAGTTTTGCGTGGATCCTCGCGTGAAAGCGCCACGAGTCCATGCGGATACGGTCACGGGGCATAGTTTGGAGCCAATATCTTAGCCGGGAGTGCACTATTTGAGCTGCCGTTTGGGCAGAGTCTTATTTAGGGCCTCAAGATTACTTTCCACGTGAGAGCCCCATAGGTCCAGATTTGCCTGGACTCTGCCTTTAATCGTGACCCATGATTTCTTTTATAGCTAAAGGGTCGCATTCTGCAAATTATGGGCTTCTATGTGTTCGATGATGACGCTCCTTGCAACTAATTTTTATCCAGTTTTTTCGTGTGTCATTTGCTTGGTCCTTTCTATGAAATACGTGGATCAAGGGGCGCGATTTCTCCGTTGTCACCAGAAAGTCTAGCTCTGTGCTGGCAAGTCTATAAGAAACACTCGGCAAAGTGCTTTGGCTTACTAGGTAGCAGTGGCGTACCCAGGATTTCGGCTCGGGGTGGGGGGGGGGGCGACAAAAAAATTTTTCTTATGAAGGTGCGTGGCTAACGCCACGCACCCAGATAAATTTTTGGTACGCTTCTCAAATTTTTCACGAGCCCATAACCCCAAAATCGTAGAAAAAGGGGGCGTGGCGTCAGCCACGCCCCCGGAAAAAATTTTCTTATAAAGCTAAAATGAATTTTAAAATTTTAAAAATTATTTTAATCTCTTACAAGTATAAATAAGTCTTTTGCACATTTTTATGACTCATATAAGTAACTTTCAAGAATTTCGCGACCCGTTCTCGGTGGGGGAGGGGGGGAGGGCGTAGTCAAAGTTATCATTTGCTGATTTCCACCTCCGCTGAAAAATTTTAAATTTTCGTTAATTGGATTTCCAAGGGTTGATCAAACAAGCGTGCTTGAAATCTACTTTATCTAATAAAAGTGAGTGACCTACACAACACTCAAATACAATCCATTCGCAGTAGGTCGCCATCGTAACGCCAAACCTCAAAAAAAAATTTTTTCAGGTCATGAATAAATTCTGCTCACCATTCGCTGATGAAGATTGTTGGCCATCGTTAAACGATTTCGTACGTTTTTGTCCATTTGGCGGAATCATGGATTTGCATCGTTTACATTTCATCAGTCGCACACGCTTCAGTTTGACAAGTGGTAGGGGTAGTGTCTTGTATATGCAGTACACGCACCTTTACTCCGGTTTGATTTTCATCGCCACAGCATGTATTTGAGAGTCCGAATCTAATAGCAGTTATTGAAGGTTTGCCGTATTACGTTCAGTCACTGCTGATTCTTAACTGCCTACTAATGCCAGCAATGTCCTGCGTGCAACCTGAGCTCAAGCTTGTACTCGCTGAATTTGAAATATTAATATCTCCTCCATGATGAAGGCGGTCGCCCAAATAGGTTGAGAGCATAAAGGCTGACGCGCACGCGGCGCGCGGGCAATTGTCAACCACGGGTCGCGCGCACGCTCGCGTGGATGATCGCTAACCGAGCGTGCGCGCGCCCTGTGGTTGACAATTGTCCGCGCGCCGCAGCCTTTCATGCTTTCAACCTATTTGGGCGACCGCCTTCGTCTTGGAGCAGATATTATCTAGCGGAGCAAAAGGAACTAACAAGAATTCTCTTACTGACGGCGAGTGAACGGGTAGAACTCAGCGCTGAATCTCTCGGTGTTATGTATATGGCTGCTGCAGCGTATAGGTTTGGCTTTTAGTTTGTACTGCGTGTCCAAAGTTCCTTAGGTCTAAGGCACACCTTACGCGATTCGGCCGAATCGCTACTTTCACGCGACTTGGCAGATTGCCAGATTTTTGCAAATTTACCGTACGTTTTTCTCGAACGCATATCTGGGTACCTTGTACGAGTTGTTGCAAACCGATGAAGTTCTGACCAACGGCAGCGCATCAACGACGATTTACGAAGATTCACTGTTATGCCAAATCGCGCAGCGACCGGAATCGCGCAAGGTATGCCTTAGGCCTTACGGGGCAACATTCCTGCCAGGATGCGAGACCTGTGCGGACAGTGGAGCGAGCATGTTACATTGGAGTCGGGTTGCCAAGTGCAGCCTAAATTAGTAATAGGCCTCATCTAAAGCCAAATATAGGCGAATTCGATGACACAACTTTTGTTAAGGAAAGTCACTAAGAACCATGCAAAGGAAGCTCAAGAGGACATGAAGTCGCTGGATTAGCTGGAAAGAGTTGACGTAGTCGAAATCAATTTTGCCAAAGTCGCTCAATTTTGACGGCGGATGTACCATTTGACTCAACTGGCTTGGCATCGGCAAAGACGGGGCTTCGTGACCTAATTAAGGCTAGGTAATGATCAGAGAGCACTCGCGCGAGAGAGACGCAGGTGCGTCGCGGTCGCGACCGGCCTCAATTAGATCACAAAACCCCGTCCTAATGGTGCCAAGCCAGTTGAATCAAATGTTATGTTGCATATGGCTGCGCTGTCAGCATCAGCTATGTGTTACCCTGCGCGTCATAGTCCTGTCTTGTCTGCGCGCGGATGGGCAGCGGTAGAGCGTATAAGAGTGACCCTAAAAAAACAACTATCGGAAGTTGTGTTCTCCCTGCATGTGGTGATTTCCATTCGAATTCTCGCTGACTTTGCCCACTTTGCGCTAGCCACCCCCCAGAAATGTTTGGAGCATTTCCCGATGTTATCATTCAGATTGAGCTTGTCAAAATTTCAAAAATTTGTCAAAGTTAACGCGTAAGAAGGAGCGAAAGACATTGCTGGGGGAACGGTATTGTTATTTGGGAATCCTGCCAGGGTACAGATGATATGTCATCGCATTCTTTTGAGGGATGGCTACCTGTCTAAGAACGCAATCATGCCAATGTTTCACATCTCCAATTTAGGACTGCATCCTCCGAAGTTACGAAGCACTCTATAAGGAAATTGAAGCAAATCCAGTTGAAATTGAGATTGAAGAAAATCCCGTACACACGGTTGGTTTGTTGTCTACAGAGCAGTTGTGCCAGAATGCTAATTGCCAGTACTAGTCGATTTAGTAAGCGCAGCTCCACAAGGCAGGCAAATCAGCATGCTGGACAGCTATCTCACTCTTAAAAGCTTCCATAAAATCGACTATGGCTGGCCAAAGCTTCGGCTCTTTTTCGTTTACATAGATTGTGGTAGCGCTTCAAATCATCTACACTCAGAACCATCAGTCTAAATAAATGCATTTCAGTTTGTTGCTTACGATGAGTCAATGAACAAACCGCGATTTTTCACACCATCACTGCAGCACCAACGTAACAGTTTCGTTAAAGAAACATTATCGAAGTACATTGAGGAGACAGACGAGAAAGTTGGCAAAGTATGCAGATTGTGCATCTTAATAAATGGATCTGCAAAAAGTTTTTCAGCTGGCAGTCCTTGGTTGTGGTGCACTATCTTTGGAGAGGACATTGATGACCAACTTCGGTGAATTAGGAATAGAACGTGTGTTATCTGTGGATATCGATTCTCAGGAGCTAGCCAAGGGGCTGAAGTATATGAAGTGAGCAATATCGTAGTACAGGAATTCTAGAACTGTGAGGGAACCCTAGGACAACAATTTCCGAAAGCATCCCAAACGCGTGGTGACCGGTTTATAGGAATGCTTGAAGTGTGCTGATACCATAAGGGCCGAATTGACTGTAATATTCGTGATCAGCATCTTGAACAACCCCGTACATCAATTTTGAACGAGCTTCGTGGCTTCGAAATTCTTACTCACAGTTTAAAAAAACTTAAAATTGTAAAGTTGTAGATTTCAATCGGTATCTGGACATCTCTGCAAGAAAACGCTTCAAAAAAAAACAACAAAAACTTTCAAGCATGGAAAGGAAGTCCAAAATCAGCGATATAGTCGCGTCGCTCGTTTGAAGTCAGCGACGCGATATCGCTGAGATTCGGCCAAATAGCGACGATCGATGAGCGAAGTGTGTTCAGTGATTAGTCGCGTCGGAAAACTATCACAACCGAATTGCAAGATGGTCGGCATGCAGTGAACTCGTAATAGTTGTCTTGTCGGAAGAATCACTCGGCGATGAAATAGCGTAATGAATTCCCGGCCCTATAGAGGACTTTTGGGTCCTACGCCGAGATTTGACCTAGTTTGGGAGCTAACTAAACAGTCGATAAAATCCCTCCCCTCCCCCTTTCAGAGAATGGGTTCCAAGATTTTTGAATGTGGCGCACATAAGTTAAAATTGCTGTGCACGATAGTGACTATTGTAAAAAATCGAAGTGGTTTCTAGGATATTTGGAAATTTGATATAGGCTTTAGAAAAGAAATTTTTGGGAGGGGCGTAGCTGCCGCCGCCTCTGGAACTTTCTCGAACGGTGTCAGCCACATCCTTCATTCAAAATATTGCCTTTCCCCCTCCCGAGAAAAATTTCTCGGACCGCTATTGATGGAAGTCGTCCTGTTACCAGCGTCCTTTTTGCATCAGCTACCATCAGCAACAGCGGGCCTGCGTGCCGAGCTCCGATCGCTGGGTAGATCATTCAAAAGCACGCGAACCGTGCTAGGCACTGCGAGGTGGATGTGCCGGTCGAATAAGGATAGCGTGACTGAAGAGACCTTCTGAAAGCAAACTTCAAACCATTGTCGTTTGAGTAGCATTCGTCTTATTCGTATTTTCAGGCTGACAGCAAATCAGAACGAGAACATCTTATGTAATTCAAACTCTTTACCTGTTCTATTCGAAGCTTATCAAGGTAAGTGCGCCTCTTGAAACGCTACATAAAATCTCGATCTTCCTGCTATCTAGGCAATATTCTCGAGTATGACGAGCGTTTGGCAGGAGCAACCTGTGTTTGCTCAACTGAAGTGTAAGTTGTTCGTGCAGTTGTAAAAATTGAAGAAATTGATTGGTAATATCAAGTAAAAAGGAGCATGGTTAATCTAATAGGTTGCCCCGAATGTTTTGTCCGTCTTCTCAAACCACTATAAAACTGTCCACGCACAATAAAGATCTGAATGATTTTTTAAATTTTAATTTAATTTTCACTCGAAAGTCGGAAAAGCTCAAATATGGACAAAATAGAGCAATTTTCGGACTACAAGTTAATATTTTTTAAATTCTCTCTGCTGTTTTTAGCTCCAAATACTATTTATTCGCTCATTTAAATATGTGAGCTTATGTGTATAGTCCCCTCCACAATTGCTGCTACCTTTGGTCTGCGTCTCAGACCTGCCACATGTGGCTAACATGTTGGTAACGTGGCAACAACATGTTTGCAACATGCGGCAACATGTTGACGCGGCCAAAATGTTCTGCCAACATGTATGGCATGTAGCAAACATGTTGTTGCCACGTTGCCAATATGTTAGCCACACGTGGCAGGTCTGAGACGCAGACCAAGGGTAGCAGCAACCATGGAGGGAACGATAAGTGATCAGTACAAGTCGTCTCTGGAGATTCATTTTGTAATTGCACATCTTACCTCATCCACAACGCGCCACGTGGAGAGACTACGACAATTAAGGCAAGAAATTTTCAAGAGTTTCTTTGTGGCAATACACGGCGTACTTCTGAAAGTTTCGTCGCAAAAAATGATTTCTTTTCAAAACGGCAATGACGTGCCAGTTTTCGTATGAACACATCTGTACCAGTTGCACTCCCCCTATTATCGACAGACCGTTTATTGTTTGCAAACTATCTCTATCGAATGCACCGACGTCCAGTCTCCGCGTGGATGTCTTATATGACGTGAGCACTAATAATATGCAGTCATTATCACAAAGGATTAAAAATCTGGCGTAGCTCAGTAGGCGAAAGTTTATTGCAAAGAAGTTTATCGCTTTATCGCAGCCGGTAGTAGACGGATTTTGGATGCAAAGAAGTGGAAGTAGTCTTTGATGAACTTTGCTAAGCGGGTTGCATGGGGTACACTTGGCGCCACACTGTGCCCAAAGAGCATCGCCACCACTACAGTTTCTATGTCCCTCCTAAGCATAACGTTATAGTACAGCTGCCTCTCCTTGGGGCCTGCGTCACGTTGCGAATGCATCGTTTGGCGTGACGTGGCAACAAAAACAACGTGGAAAAGTCTGGGCTGCGTTGTTTCTGCCTCCGCATGCCAAATGACGTATCGTCCCCTCCACAGTTGCTTTGCTGCTACACTTGTCTGCGTCTCAGACTGCCACGTGGGCTAGCATGTTGGCAACGTGGCAACAACATGTTTGCAAGGCACGACATTTGGCATTTTGACCACGCCAACACATTGCTGCGTGTTGCAAACATGTTTTTGCCACGTTGCCAACATGTTAGCCACATGTGGCAGGTTTGAGACGCAGGCTAAGGGTAGCAGCAACTGCTCAGATAATCGCCGGGGGCAGGCGGTCCGCAAACTCGCGCTTTTCTGCGAACGGTCAGCAGAATTTTGGGGCATGGCCAAACCTTCAGCTGGCGGCACTTCCTTTACGGTCGCATATTCTGCCAGCGGGCAGCAATACAGCATTTTTTGCAAGCGCTCGGCAAATAACTTCTTTAGCGAACGCGGATCAAACTTTCAGCAAGCCTCGGACTCTTTTTAAGCAGTTTCAGGCATACGCCGAGTACAGGTAAGACTCTGTGTGGCGAGGTGTTACCGTTGGTTTATTACTCAAATTCGAGGTACTTTCTTCCAGCGGAAAGTACCTGGGGGCTGTGCGGTCCTTCACAAAGGACCGTGCGGCCCCCGAAAATTTTGCATATTCTCGCGGAAAGTCCGCGAGAATGCGGCCACTGCGCCGCAGCTTATCCATAGCAAGACCGCGATAGTTTTCCGAGCGTTCTTCTAAAAAATGGCCAAAATTATTCCAAATTTCTGCAAGCAGACCGCAAGAAATCAGCGAACTATTTTTCCGGTGCCCGCCCGCCCATAAATCGCATGGCCGCCTGCCCTCGATGATTATCTTAGTGTGAATGGGACTTGTGGCGTGCTAAAGAGAGGCGGCCACACTATCACACGTCATGCTTATGGGGGACATAGAAATTGAGATAGATAGATTAAGTAGATTTTTTTTCTAGAATTGAGCATATGGCAGAAGAGAAAGCAAAAGAGTATGTGCGATCGGTGCTGCTCACCGTAAAACCGCAGTTATTTATTATTTCTACACCCAATCACGAGTACAACGAAGCATTTGGTTTGCCCACAAACACGTTTCGGCACGATGATCACAAGTTTGAATTCACCCGACAAGGTTTTAGATTCTGGTGAGCTTATTGCCTTTTACACCCAGTGCTTGTATGTTAAAGAACAATTCAAGGCTGTACAACATAATGAAAGAATTTTCGTCTGACTACACTTACACCATAGAATACGTTGGAAATATTTCGAGTGGGTATTATTAGATTATTAAATTATTGCTTTTCTCATAAATTTTCTCTCTAACAAATCTTCAGAATACGCACACTTGCAAGGTGCTACTCAGTTTGCTGTCATACGAAGGAAGTTTGGCAAATCGGCTTTGATACTGCCTCACTCTAACACAAGGCCATACAAGAAGGTGAGAATTCGCTTCAGATAACCAGGGTCAAGCAAGGGGTGTGGCACACGATCGCTGGTTACGACCCCCCCCCCCCCCCCCTGATTGCTGTCTTAATAAGACCCCCCCCCCCCTCCCCTGAACTATACATTTAAGATAGCATTACTTGAAGGCCCTGTCAAACATAATGGGCAACATATCCATAATTAGCATGTTAAATAACCCCTGTAGACAAAGTGTGAGCGAATTCTGAAGATTCAAGATACTAGGCTACCTAAGTGAAATGGTCAAATTCCAACGTGGCTTTGTTTCAAAGGTGAATTAGCTATCCGTTTTTGCACTCAAGACAAAGCACTACTAATTCTCATTAACTATATCAAAAAAACATTTTTGGGAGACAATATTTATATGATTCGATAGCCTAAACCTTGTAGATTCCATAGGACTGTTTTGAGCCTGATTCGTCTTCTTAGCTCTAAATAATATTTGGTGAAAGCACAACGATCAAAAAGGAAAAATGGGAAAAACGAGATTTTGGTTGGCTTCTAATTCCACAGTTTGGAGGTCTTCTGAAGCGGGATTCCTGAGGTGGACAAAGAAGGAGTAGTGCTTTGTCTTGAGTGCAAAAACGGATAGCTAATTCACCTTTGAAACAAAGTTAACCATGTTGGAATTTGACCATTTCTTTTAGGTAACCTAATATCTTGAATCTTCAGAATTCTCACACTTTGTCTACAGGGGTTATTTGACATGCTAATTATGGATAGGATACGAATATCATGTTATCACTATTATCAGATTACCCAACTACTACCCCCTCCCCCTTTGACTCCTCAATACGACCCCCCCAGGTGTGGCGTGCCGCACCCCACGCTTGACCCTGCAGATAACCCCGTAGTCCTACTATACGGAGAAAAGCATTTGTCATTTTCGCATCTTGATAAGTCGTAAAAACTGACATTTTCCCATCCTAGGTTGGGGAAGTGATTGCGAAGAACTCCCTATATTCGCTAGAACGTGAAAAAGTGCGAGAAGCGTTCAAGCTATGGCTTAGCCGCAATCCGCTACGAGAAAATGATTTGTTGAAGGTAACTGAGCATCCGTTATCTCTCTTACAAGAGCTCCCATAATTTAGACCTTTGTGGGCAATTACTGGCGAGTTGGTATGTCTTCTGTTGTGGATCTCATAAATCTGCCCGAACCTTTGAAGGCGAAGTTGAACCAAAAAGCGCTAGTGTAGGTTATGATTATGGACTATGGTAACGATAGTATCCGTACTATACGGCACAGAATTTTCATTACAGTGATATGCTTCGATTTTTGTGCAATGGTCGTATTGTTTACGAAACTCATCATGGCGAAGCTTGTCTGAACATTCCCCATCATGTGACAAAAGACGAACTCATTGGCATAATGAATTCAAAGAATGTCGGAAGTCCTCCCCCTCTTGGCTTATGCGCGTAACGCTTGGAATATCCTCGTTTTAACAAATCTCTGGATAGAAACTATAAAATTAGTATCTCATTATGTTCTACCCTAATAAGGAAGGATTCAAATGGTAGCAGGTCTGAACCTTACTAGTCGCACTTTTCTCTGGCGGCTCTTTTGAAATATTTGAATTTTTCATGAAAGAAGGGGAATGTAGGTCACCATAGTCAACAGATACAACCTATACTTTTAGTGCGAAGCAGAGGTACGCACTAAAAGTATGCTTGATAAGAAATTTATAGCGTTCAGACCCGCATCAGCTGAAGTCTACGCATCCGCCAAATGAAGTGATATCCCATTTTAGTGCTACTAATCTCCTTTCAAAATAACTGAAGTATAGCTCTGCTTTGCCATTTCAGTGACTAATCTATTTTCTAACATGTTTTTCGACTTATGTAGTTTCTGAGACTTGTATTCTCTTTGCTGAGAAGCACTTCATCTTGAAGTCTATTATCATATCTGCCTGTTATGTCAATACGAGGTGTACAATAACCTTCTTGTTGTTATCATAGTTGATCTAATATTGCTGGCAGCAGTTTGTATTCACACTTTTGTCACGGTTTTCCAATTTGAATGAGCAGTATTGTTATCAAACTTCGTGAATTACATTTTACGTCATCGAAATGACAGTTATTAGTTGTAAAATCGAGAGCGGTAAATATTCTAATTTCACTCGTACAAGGCGCGCGGGGTTTTTTCCGAAATTGACCGCCCAAACACGTCAAAGGACTTCGCAATCAAAGGAGCCTGTAACATGAAGTGAGTATATTGCTTGAAAGATTCGGGCGGCGTAAGAATCGCTTTCCGTAATAATACAGCTAGCTAGGCGGTTGTGTGGCTCGTTTGAAAAATTGAAAAAGTGCGTCGTGTACGTGAAATTAGAGTGAACAGTTCCTCTTTCGAAAAGCTTTGGGCTTAGCACAAACGAAGCACAAATGGCAAAAATTGTGACTCTAGGGCCGTGTCATAGCTCATCTCATCAGTCGACATACTTGCCAGATTCTCTTTGGCATGAAGTTTGTAGATACCCACTGTTTGCCTGAGCGCAAATGTGTGTGCTTCATCTGTACGTAGAGCGTGCTAAGTGCTGAGTCTAGTAACTATTCAATTATTGCTTCTAGTATATTGTATTGTCTTAATAGGATTCACTGCTGTTTCACGGATGATAAGCTTATTTAACTTAATTTGATTTCGCTGTTATGATCTAATCCTTTGTTGTAACTTACGGCTCTGTTTTGGTTTTGTATCAACAAAGGGGAAATCAAGAAGTCTGTGTAACATCCCACTAAGCACTACGTGCTTCGAGCTAGGTAAAAATATGGTAAAAAACTCGAGTGAGTGAGGACAACATGAAAAATGTGTTAAACAATTGCAATCCATAGTTGTTGTAAGAAAATGTAATTCCAGTAACTTCCTCAATTAAGAGTATTAGTCAGTTGGTCATTGTTGTTCCTGTCCCATTTTGCTGGGTGCGCAATTGCTCGTAATGTTCCGACTCTCGTTTCCGACGTGCAAGCTCTAAAGAGTACATCTGTGACGTAAAGTGTTTGCCATGACAATTTCGAACGCACGTTTACGTCTCCTTCGTTGTATTCTGTCCCTATCAATAATATCCTGTTTGACAATAATGTACCATATCGAATAAAGCGAGAAAATTACTAGTAACGTAGTGAGTAGCTTTTGTATTTCAGCGATTATTGGCATAACAGCCGAACTGGAGTCGAAGTCAGTGCGAAATGAGAGTTTACCTCGAACATTGTACGATCGGCTCCCAGATTCGTGTGGAGGCGGGTCGCGGACTTCCCTGATTTTAAGGATAAGCTTAACGAGAGAGTACGAAATACAATGCTATAACGTGGAGGTTTAACAAGTTTATCCTGAAAATCAGGGAGGTCCGCAATCCGCCTTCAACGAATCTGGGAGCTGATGATACAAATTCACTAGTTGCAACGAAAAAAGAAGCCTAAGATCTACTTTCTTAGGCTTGTGTTCACTACATTGCAAACAAACCAGTATGGATTCAAGAACTCGTAGCAGTTATCTTATTGTGCTTCACTCTAACACCTGCGAATTTGCAAACTTCTTAAATTCTGCCCTATTATGCTAGAGTGGACGATTTGGAAGATGAGAGTCATTACAGGGTAGTTAGCGTACTTTTACGGTTGTTGCCAGACGAAGAATGTTTTAATTCTGATGGTATTCTTTTGTTTGTCGCAGCTAGTAAGCAATGTCAGCTGCACAGTCCAACCCTTTGCATAAGTTAAACTACGTCATCTTGCTGTTCTATACACCTTGATCAGAAATTAGTTTTCATTCAGCATAAGCAATTGTGCCAGGGCTCGGCACGAGGTGGCTAGATGAAAATGGAAAAAACGAAGTCCCCCTTGACTTTTGGGAATTTTTACGAAGTCCCCTTTGATCCTCAACCAAATTTCCTCTAAAAACCTGAAAAATTCCCCAAAATCCCCCAAAAAAAGAAACGTCGACTAAAAAAAAAGGTCGCCATCGCCATTTCCGTGTCTCTTCAGTCACAAAAACGAAACCCCCTTTGCTTTTCGTCCCAAAAACGATATCCAGCTTGCTTGTAAGCCACCTCGTGCCGAGCCCTGAATTGTGCAGAGGGAGCAGTACCGTCGTGTGTATGCTGGTAACGGCTTCTCGTGCTGCAGACGACAACAATACTTTGGAGCCTAAACGTTTCGAGCAACGTACAGGGGCTTTCAATGTGAATGTCACAATCGACGTGGTTCAACTCCTCGCGAGCCGCCTCGCTTGGATCTCTCACGTGGCACCATACTGCATCCGCTAAGGCTTTCGCGGCATCGGGTGCGGTATTCTGCCACATGAGAGATCCAAGCGAGGCGGCACGCGAGGAGTTGAGCCACGTCGACCGTGACACTCAGATTGAAAGCTCCTGTACGAAATCGCTTCACTTCTTTATAGTATTCGAAACACCACCTGTCGCAAATAGTGATCGGCATGTTGCAGATGGTGTTGCACACAGCTTCGTTCCATTCCCTCTTGGAGTTTGAAACACCACCTGTTGCAAAGAGTGATCGGCGTGTTGCAGATGGTATTGCGCAGCGTCGTTTCACTCCTTTTTGGTGTTCGAAACACCATCTGTCGCAAATAGTGATCGGCATGTTGCAGATGGTGTTGCGCAGCGTAGTTCCACTCCTTTTTGGTGTTCAAAACACCATCTGTTGCATAGTGATCGGCATGTTGCAGATGGTGTTGCGCAGCGTCGTTTCACTCCTTTTTGGTGTTCGAAACACCATCTGTCGCAAATAGTGATCGGCATGTTGCAGATGGTGTTGCGCAGCGTAGTTCCACTCCTTTTTGGTGTTCAAAACACCATCTGTTGCATAGTGATCGGCATGTTGCAGATGGTGTTGCGCAGCGTCGTTTCACTCCTTTTTGGTGTTCGAAACACCATCAGTTGCAAATAGTGATCGGCATGTTGCAGATGGTGTTGCGCAGCGTAGTTCCACTCCTTTTTGGTGTTCAAAACACCATCTGTTGCATAGTGATCGGCATGTTGCAGATGGTGTTGCGCAGCGTCGTTTCACTCCTTTTTGGTGTTCGAAACACCATCTGTCGCAAATAGTGATCGGCATGTTGCAGATGGTGTTGCGCAGCGTAGTTCCACTCCTTTTTGGTGTTCAAAACACCATCTGTTGCATAGTGATCGGCATGTTGCAGATGGTGTTGCGCAGCGTCGTTTCACTCCTTTTTGGTGTTCGAAACACCATCAGTTGCAAATAGTGATCGGCATGTTGCAGATGGTGTTGCGCAGCGTAGTTCCACTCTTTTTCGGTGTTTTCAACACCTATTGCAAAGAGTGATCGGCATGTTGCAGATGGTGTTGCACACAGCATCGTTTCACCCCTTCTTGGTGTTCGAAACACCGTAACTCTACTCCCTCTTGGAGTTTGAAACATCACCTGTTGCAAAGACTGATCGGCATGTTGCAGAAGGTGTTGCACAGCGTCTTGCGTCAGCATGTTGTACCACGTTGCTGTCTTGCTAGACTTTGCACAACACTCGCCCATGGTGTTCAAAACACTACCTAGCACAATGTAATCGGCCAATCATGGATGGTATAAAGCAAAATAAAACAATTTTGTTATTTAAAGCAGATTCGAAAAAAATATAAGTGCAGTGTGATTTTCCTTTTCCTGAAATCTGAAAAAGTTTGTGTGATATGACCGCATATTTGCATAACAATATCTGATGTGCGAAATACTACCAAATGTAATGATGTGCACAAGTTATTAAAATTGGTTTGCTTGAAACAAAATTCGTCTATAATGCTTGTTTTGAATTTTCGTTGCAATGAAATCTGTTTTTAGCTATGACTGGGGTTTCAAAACTTACTTTTCCGATAAAAGAGATAATCGTGTTGGTCATTTCAGCAATGATAATAATATTTCTCGATAAGCTGACTTCTTTTTGAATTAAACTTGAGATTGCACAATAATCATACCCTATAATAAAGCGCAGGGGGGACCATCCGACGTCAACAACCGGCGAAGAATGTTTGCCCAGATCTCTGAGTTAATTCTTGCACTTTCGCCCGCTTCCATACTGTTTACCGTTACGACTCAGCCTAAGTGCAACCTATGACGTCATCAATGGTATGATGCTTTTGCCATCTTCGGTGTTCCGTCTGCTTCGGTGATGTTTATCACGACGTCAAGCTAAGTGCAACCCCAATTCCTTCGCCTACAAAGCTGTTAGCGGTCGATTTATTTCAACCGCTTTACATTTTGCTTCATTTGCGAAAATAAGCAAACGTCGGATAGCATCTTCAGGTCGGTGATAATACTTAACATTAATATCTGTATTACATCTCCTCGATTCTTTCTTATTCTTGCACTTTCGCCCGCTTCCATACTGTTTACCGTTACGACTCAGCCTAAGTGCAACCTATGACGTCATCAATGGTATGATGCTTTTGCCATCTTCGGTGTTCCGTCTGCTTCGGTGATGTTTATCACGACGTCAAGCTAAGTGCAACCCCAATTCCTTCGCCTACAAAGCTGTTAGCGGTCGATTTATTTCAACCGCTTTACATTTTGCTTCATTTGCGAAAATAAGCAAACGTCGGATAGCATCTTCAGGTCGGTGATAATACTTAACATTAATATCTGTATTACATCTCCTCGATTCTTTCTTAATTGGTGCACCACATCATCATTGTTTTTATCACTAAACGCATCTTTACGTGCGAACCAAAATTTACTCTCAAACAAGCAAAATCATATTACTCATTGTTCTTTTTCCTGTTATGCACTATTCCGTTTCTGTCTTCATTACCAAACGTATCTTATTGAACACTTTCAAATTTTACTCTGAAAAACCCTTCCACAAAAATGAAGCAAAAGAAGCGAATGAAGCATGCTGAACGCATCTTCACATGAAAAATCCTCAAACTCACTGTGAAAATCAAACCTTTTTGAGAAAAAAAATTAAACATTAGCACATACGGGACGATAGCAAGCGCGATTGGGATGCAATATACAATCTAGCTTTGAAGGTCGTTTGTAAAAGGCTTATGCTTTGTGCGTTGATTTTGCAACAAAATAGATTTCATTCAGCAATCCTGCACCCAATTTGGAAGAAAATGGAACGCTTTATAAAAAGGCAATAGTTTGCACCAAAATGTCGAAAAATATTAAGTCTAATTGCTGTCATGTGAAAAAGCACCTGAAAATTTGAGACGGACTTTTTTGTAACACAGATTGTTTGATTTCAACGCCAAAAATTCCTCCTTTTGCATACATGGTTTGCAGGAAGTTAGATATCTAATTGGAAATTGTTTCAAAAAACTGCGGTAGATTTCGTGGGTTCTACATAGATGTATGATATATACTCTAATCTGTAACCCATCACAAACTTTTTGGAACTACATATTCAGACACCGTTTGCAAAATTGAAATTTTGAAACTTTGTTGTTTAAAATCTTCGCATGTTTCAAAAGATACAAACGAAAATTTTGATCAACGAAATATGAATAAAACCTTTTTGCCATTACCGCTTTCAATGAGTTTGAAGAATACTATATCGAGAGAACGGTTACTCTTAAGATTATTTTTTGGGATACAAGCACAATTATCTTGAAATTTTTTTGGGCTCTAAACGCTTCTGAGCTAACATCATCAAATAGCCGTATATGTGGAAAGCATTCGCCTCTTGAAACAACCTACATTGGGTGCAAATAAGTGTTGTAATGTTACTCTCGAAGAAGCTGCTACAATTAGAGAGGCCAAAAAGCAGCTTTCGAAGAAGTTGAAGCCATGCATGAAGCTTCAACAAAATCTAAGAACGACGCCTCCCCACCTGATGCGGTCAAAGCGCAGCTCGCTTCACGGCTGGAGCAGCAGCCAAGCTGTTCTCGACAGAACCTTAGCCAATCAATCGAATTAAATGAGGTAATTTTATGCTAATATCTTTTTCAAACCCTGATCCGCATGTTGTAGCAATCAAACGAACGACCATTGCCAATAAAATGTTTGTCTAAAAAATCACTGGAAACAGTAAAGGTGAGAGAAAATAAAGAATGGAAGGTGCACTTTGCGTTTTTGAATGCGAATTTTTTTATCCTAGGAGCGTACGCAGCGGAAGAAAGTTGAAGGAAAGACATCGGGCGATTCTAATGTGCGTGCGGATGAGCATAAGTTAGCTCTCCTTCAACTCGATGCAGAGAGATGTAGATCAAATAGATGGCGAGAAACCGAACGCCAAAGAGCAGAACGCCTTGCTAAGGTAGCGGAAAGAGCCAGAAAAAGAAGATCAACGGAAACAGATGAGGAGCGTATGCTGCGTTTACGGAAATTTGCAGAGAGGAAAAGACAACGTGCACATGAAGGCCTAGAGAATGAAATTTCCGAAGGTGTCAAACGTAACTCCACTTTGAGTTCGGAGCGCTTGGAAAATAGAATTACGGTCAGTAGCACTTCTGTGACTTTTACCTTACACGTTTTTTACATCTGGGGTTCGAACTATCTCAAATAATTACGTGACGTAGTTCCACATCTAGGTTGATCCAGAACATTCAAGGGCACTTACACTTACGCCTTCAGAAACAACAGTTGCAAGTATTACAGATGAGGCTGAGGTTTGGGTTGCCAGTATTACGTGTGCACATAGATACTTCGCATTTTCCAGATAGATTTATCGCAACAACGCAGCGAATATGGTTCCACAACATCACCTCTCATGCAAAATGTAACAGCAAATGGGCACTTGAGCGAGACCCAAAGATCTACAGTTGAGCATGAGGAAGGCTGTCTAAATGAAAATGCCTCTGTGGTCAGCATCAGTAAACTCACAAGCTCTTGCAAGTTTACCACTTTTTTCTATAGATCTATGCTCCTATGATTGCTCCGCCTGAGTTTGTTGCTGTATCTTCAAAAGATTCAGAAACTCCGGTAAGCTTCCTGCCAGCCGATTCAAATATAGTTTTCGGAATAACATATGTGGGAATGTTGCAGCTGTTGATTGGAAATGACGAGAATACATCACTCTATCCCTACTCTGCCACGGAAGCAAGCGCGATCACCAACGAGAATAACCTACTCACGTATCGGAGGAATCACAACGAAGAGGAACGAGGAGACAATGTACCTGTGAATCAGGTAGGGTTGTCTGTAAGGTTCTCTGTTCTTCCCTACACTTCGGTGTTTAGACGGGATCATCCCGAAATGCTACGCAGGTTCGTCAAAGAACTCCTCGCAATCTTGGAATAGCGCTAACCACTTACGATACGGAAGAAAACTATTTGGGACTTATGAATGTGAGCTGCAATCGCTGCGCCGCACTCTTCTTCCCGGGCGAGGCAAAAAGAATCAACGGAAGCTCCAACATTTGCTGCAATTTTGGCAACATCTCGATAGATCCATTTTCGGATTTTCCGGAACTTATCCGCTCTTTTTACGCTGGATCATCGAGTCTTTGCAAGAATTTCCGTGACCAAATCCGATCCTACAATAGCGCTCTTGCCATGGCTTCAATGGGCGCACAAATGGACATTCCGCGCGGTGCCGGTCCATATTGTTATAGGATTCATGGCCAAGTATATCACTACGTTGGCCCTTTAAAACCTGAACAAGGAATCCGTCCTCAGTTTGGACAGGTGTACATACTCGATACGGACGCTGCAGCTAATGAACGAAGTGGGAACCCTGCAAACTCAAAATGCGATGCTACTGTGATGCATCAATTGACAGCATGGTTGCACGCTAATAATAGCTACGCAGCTTCACTTAGAATGATGGGTGATGTGGCTGCAGATGAAGAACGACGGGCTCGTAACGAAGGTAGGCAGGCACCGGCAGTCCGATTAATCTTCGACGAATCCCACAACCTGGATCGTCGTCGATATAATGTTCCAGTTTCCAACGAGATCGCTGTTGTCTACGTTGGTGAAGATGGCGATGTTCCAGCGAATCGCGCTCTAGCGATTCATTATAGAGGAGGTCGACTGCTCAATATTCCTGACATTGACGGTCGGTGTGACCCACTGACCTACCCATTACTGTTTCCGAAAGGAGGAATGGGTTGGCATGTAGGTCTAAAAAAGAGTCCAAGTTGCCGTGCTCGCTCTAGAATAACGCAACGCGAGTACTACTCCTATCTATTCGCGGTACGCCCATCTTTCAATCCGTTGCATCACGCCGGCAAACTCATGCAGCAGTTTGCAGTTGATGCATACGTCAAGATTGAACAAAATCGGCTGAATTATGCGCGTACGCACCAAAAGGAGCTTCGAGTGGACAGCTATAGAGGACTCATGGATCACTTGGCATGCGATGATGTAGATGGACCTCCGGGACGGCGCGTGATTTTACCATCTTCATTCCCTGGCAGCCCTAGAGCAATGCACCAGTCCTACCAGGACGCGATGTCCATCGTTGCAAGGTATGGAAAACCTGACTACTTCCTTACCTTCACCTGTAATCCACAATGGAGAGAGATAAAAGAGAACCTGCACCCTGGCCAGTCCTCTTCAGATCGACCCGATGTAGTGACGCGTGTGTTCAACAGGAAGTTGGAGATACTGAATAATCACCTGTTTGAGAAAAGAATTTTGGGCACTGTCGCTGCCTATGTAGGAGTTGTGGAATGGCAGAAACGAGGCCTTCCTCACTGCCATATGCTTCTAATTATGGCTGCCGATGCAAAACCGAAGAGTCCTGAGAATGTTGATGCGGCTGTTAAAGCACATCTTCCATGCGCCTCCCAAAATCCCCGCCTTTTTAGCATAGTCGCAAGGAACATGATTCACCGTAGTTGTGGTGCGATCAATCCAACTGCACCATGTATGATGAACGGAAAGTGTTCAAAGCAATACCCAAAAGAATACCGAGAGATAACTGATATTGACGTTAACGGTTATCCCAAGTATAGAAGACCAAATGATGGCTGCACCATAACATCCGGGAACGACACTTATGACAACAGACACGTCGTGCCGTACAATCCATATCTATTGCAGCTTCTTAACGCCCATGTGAACTTAGAGATCTGTGGCTATGTACAAGCCGTGAAGTACTTATATAAGTACGTTTACAAGGGGCCGGATCGCGCTTCTCTACGACTGATAGAAAAAGATTCTACACAATGCACTGATGAAATTCGGGCTCATCTGGATGCTCGATATGTATGCTCACCAGAAGCATTACATCACATCTTCGTGTACGAACGGCAATTCAAATCAGACACTGTACGTCTGGCTGTTCATCTACCCGACCATCAAACCATCACATTCCAATCAGGTGAGGAACGCGAGGCAGCAGAACGCGGGGCAGCCAAAGATACGATGTTGACAGCGTGGTTCAAATTGAACAACGATTATGAGCTTATGGAAGACAACAATGCCGAGACGATGGAGGTGGTGGATCCTCGAAATCTCTATTATTATCAAATCCCCGAACATTTTACCTTTTCGAAGGAACGAAAATGGCAACGGAGGCGGAGGGATAATCGTCAGATTGGTCGTATGCATGTTGCTTCACCTAAGGATCCGGAAAGATTCAGCTTGCGCGTCCTACTCCTTCATAGGAAAAACATGCGTTCATTCGAGGATCTTCGCACAGTAGACAATCATCTGCATCCCACATTTCTGGAAGCAGTGCGTCTATAGGTCTACTGCATGACGACTCTCATTACAGTGAGTGCTTGGAAGAAGCTGTTCACTTTCAAATGCCTAAGGAACTCAGGGCCTTATTCACATACTTATTGGCATTCTGCGACATATCCAATCCAAGAAGTCTTTATGATCGCTTCAAGAACGATATGGTTGAGGATTTCATCCATAGAGGATCTACGCCATCTGATGCTGAAGCACTCACCTACTTCGATCTATATGATAGGTTAGAGATTTTTGGCTACGACCTCTCAACAATTACTCCACCAGCTCAGAGTCGACCTATCCTGCCGGATCAGACTGATTATGCATTCCATGAGCAAAAAGGTGAAGAGATGTACCAGTGTCTCAATGAAATGCAAAAATCAACGGCTGATGATATCTTAGCCTCTTTCCAAGCCGGTCGAGCTAAGCTGCACTTTGTTGACGGGCCCGGAGGTAGCGGGAAAACTTATCTTTACAACGCTCTATACCATATACTGAAGGGATGTCACAAATCTGTCATCTGTGTAGCGTGGACAGGTGTGGCCGCAAACCTGCTGCCTGAAGGTAGGACGGCTAGCTCCACATTTAAGTTGAATATGAAAGCTGGAAATCAAGAGTGCTTATTGCGACGTGAGGCTAAAGAGGCCATTGCTATTAAGAAGAGTGATCTCATTATTTGGGACGAGGTCAGCATGGTTCCGAAATGTTCACTTAAAGCAGTGAATCTTCTTCTACAAGATCTGATGTGCAATGACAAGCCCTTCGGAGGTAAAGTAGTCGTGTTAGGCGGCGATTTCCGGCAGGTATTACCAATCATAGAACGAGGAAGCGAATGGGATATGGTTGATGCTTGCGTGAAGAACAGCCCTCTTTGGAATTTGTTTCGGATGCACCAGCTGTTGATCAACATGAGAGCCGCAGAATCTGGCACTTCTTGGTGTGATTTCCTGATGAGCGTTGGAAACGGAGAAGCTGAAGAAGACGCTATGGGACGGATACAGCTACCAGATGAGATAGTTTCTAAAGGAGATCTTATAGATGAGGTGTTTGGCGACCCTGGGACTGATTGCGATGCTTTGAGTGATCGAGCAATACTGGCTCCGCGGAATTTTGATGTGTCGCAGATCAACGAGGACGTTTTGAATAAGATTCATGGCGAAGTTCACGAATACAAGAGTGCAGATGATGTTATTAGTGACGATCCGCAAATGGATGATTACACCACGGAATTTCTGAATAGCATGACACCAACTGGAATGCCTCCTCATAAACTACGACTAAAGGAGGGCTCGATAGTTATGCTGTTGAGGAACCTCGATGTCAGAAATGGCTTATGTAATGGGACGAGGCTAATTGTCACGCATTGTGGCCGTTTTCTTTTAGGATGTCGATTTGCATGTGGAGATCGAAAAGGAAAATTTGTACCTATTTCTCGCATAGATAACTACACTGACACAGGAATCCCTTTCCGATTACGAAGAAGGCAGTTTCCCGTCCGCTTATCGTTTGCAATGACGATTAATAAAGCTCAAGGACAAAGTTTGGCTCATGTAGGCATATCCCTCGGAACAGATGTGTTCTCTCATGGTCAGCTCTATGTCGCATTAACCAGAGGACGACGGAAGGAGGCAGTAAAAGTCTACAAAAAGGAGGAAAGAGTCAAGAATGTAGTTATGAGAGCGGTTCTCAACTAAAAGATGATGCGCTTAATTCATGCTCGCCACCCCCCGTAAACGTTATTCTTGGACAGTTCTCTCAAAATAATTCTTGCCTTTTTCCATATGATTGCAATGTTTACGCTTTCCTGTTTTTGCATCGATCCATACGGGTTTGTTTATGTTCTTTCTTCTGAGTCTTTCAAATATCTCCAAATCATATGAAACAAGAACTGCTTAATCACTTCCTTCATATCTCATGACATCTTGCGCTACATTTTCCATGCTATCTTTTTAAATTGTTTTCCCTGATGAACTGCAATGTATCGCGTCATACACATTTCTCTATGCTTTTTCAGACTCATAAGAAAGCTACAATTTTTCTTAGAAAGAATTCAGCAAATATTTTGAAAAAAGAGCTCTGTTTTTAAGCTAACGCAAATCAAATCTCACGTACCCTTTAATAGCTCACAGCTATCCATATTAACATGATGACAACATAATAGCAGGAATGTATAGTCATGCTGACGTGAACGATTTATGCTTGGAACTTTCATATCTCACAGCGCCGCTTCTTGCACCACAGATCATAGTGCAAGAAGCGGCACCGTCTACACCCCGAATTATTCACTACGTGTCTAAAAAAGTTCATCCCCTAATTTAAGTTGAGAAAAGATACGCCAAAAATGTTGTTATTTTGAATATTCATGACAATCTTTAAATGATAGCTCAAACACATCCCACTTCGCACACACAGCCAGTTCAAAGCGCCGCGAAGCGGCGCTTTGAACTGGTATTCAATATAGTAACAGATGTGAATAAAAAAACACTCAAGCATGAATTTCCTCATACTTTCAATGAAAAATCAATTTGGACAAAAACCTACTAGGAACAAATAACTGGAATACAGTGAAAAAAGCTTGCGAACTAATTTATAATGAAAAAAGGTCTGAAAACTGATTTAATTTAATCGAATTTTTAAATCTACTGTTATCCAAATTGCAACCAACTGAGGAAGCATGAAGGAAATATTAGAAAGTTTTCCAATGGCTGAGCGCATTCCTAGGCTAATTAACAAGGGGGCGGAGCGATCAGCGCACCGCGTACGGTACCCAGCTGGCGGCTGGCACATACTATCGTTCATAAAGTCATACACCCAAACCGTATTGTTGTATTGACGTGTTGTATTCGTCAATACAACATTATTATTTTATTATTTTATTATATTATTGTTATAATGATCCTCGTATGTATCAATATTATCGTATTTATAATTCCCTACCTGATCAAAATCGTCTACTGCTGTATAAATTCGTAATAGTAATGAGCATCGCATCGCAATGCAGACAGACCCACAACAGGAAATAAAGTTTTCAAATTTTTAATCCCTTGAAATAACCCAGTTTTTTGTTTACTATGTGATGATAGTGTACCCGAGGCGTCTGCGCTCTTCTGATCGGCTTTCTTCATGCATAATTTTCAATCACAACTTTGAAAAGTATAAAAGGAAACACTACTTGATACTACATTAAGAGAGATGGCGTCTCTTTCAATGTTGTGCCAGGTGTTGCTTCTTTTCGTTGTAACGACACAGGTATATGTGTTATTCATTGAAGTTACTTGCGCCTTCACTTTTACATAGTCTAACCTGTAATGTCGAGGTTTAGGCTCAACGTAACACGCCAAGGACGCCTACACCAAATCCAGTGACCACTACTCTGTTACCACCCTATTCTCCCCCAGTCAGCTCTCCGACGATACCTCCTCCTCCTACAATACCACCTTTTCCATATACGACCAGTCAGTCTCCCTATACTGGACCTTCTATATCTTCTCCGATAACTACTCCTAGTTATCCGTCTCCGCCTTACTCTCCTCCTTCGCCAACAACTGCTCCTTCTAGTTTGCCTCCTTGTTCTGCACCACCTTATTCTCCATCCTCGCCTATTCAGACCTCATTACCATACTCACCTCCAGTAACTACTCTTGGTTACACTACAGGGCAACCTCCTTACACATCACCGCCGTATGCTTCGTCCAGTATACCTCCTTACACTTCACTCGCTCCAGGAGGGACTTCTACTCCTTACACCTTACCACCGTATTCATCTCCGGTAACTTCAACGCCTTATACTTTACCACCGTACTCGCCCCCGATCACTACTCCTCCATATATTTCGTCTTCTCCCTATTCACCTCCAGTTACTACTCCACCGTATACTTTACCCTCTTCCACCACTAGACCGACACCTCCGACTACACCGCCTTACATACCTCCTTCCACCACTAGACCAACGCCCCCAACCACTCCGCCTTACGTACCTCCTTCCACTACTAGACCGACACCTCCGACCACACCGCCTTACACTTCACCCGTAACAGTACGTCCGACTACCAGGCCATCGTCAAGCTCAACACCAGCTTACTATCCTCCCACCAATGAAGAATTGCAGGTGAAGATAGTTGTATTTTTGGTGAACGAGCTATGATTAGTATAACAGATTAGTATACACACTCCAGAATGTCTGCAGAAGCTGCTCCTCTGAGCTGGAAGCGCTTGCCGAGCGTGGACCGGATTCTTACACGAACGGATTGATGAGGTAGATTGATTTATCAATTTTTTGCCTTTTGAAGATTTTTGGTGAGAGTGATTGACTATCTCTACTCGTAGGACAACCGAAGTTTCAGCATGAGAATTTTTAGTTTGGTGAACTAAATTCCAGGCAAATGTCCAACGCTCTGGACTCGCTTCGTGACAAGAGGTACGATGCTCGGACATTGGAAGAATTATCTCCAACCGTCAACAGATTGAGAACAGCGGTAAGAAGCATTTGGCAAGAATATTGCAACACAGCCTTCTTTTAGACTTCAACGACCAGAAACTGCCGACAGAGAAATGTGTCCACTAGAGATCTGATAGTCTTCAGCGCAAACGTTAGTGTTTTACTTACAATGTTGATTTACGTTCGAGTGGTTTTAAGGTTCTTCCGTGGACCCTCGGAATCGGCAATCTGAATCCATCAACGCAGCGTGTTCAGAATCTGTTCAACACAGCCAGCCTATTTCTTGAACAATATTGCTGATTTGATTTATGAAGACCATGTGCAATATCCAAGTCCAAGCAAGACTGTTTGCTATAAAATGTTGATGCAGCTATGTGAAGCTATGCTAGGCACCATGATAAGAGTTATACATAAGAAAAGAAAAATGAACAAAAACGAGAAGAGCAAAAAGGGTTGATGGTGAACCGATTTGTGTAAGCCTAATGGACATCGTGAATTCCGTAAATAATCTAGGTAGGCAAACCTAAACTTGCTTCTTGGGTTTTTAAAAGGTACGATTTTTATCTTTTTTGATGCTAGCCTGACAGCATTTATGCACGAGAATAGCGAATTAGTCCAATAAGAGACAGAGATCTTCTCGATTTATGCAATCGAACTTTTGAGCAAATGCCTCTCTAGCAAAGTGTTCTTGTATACTGCGGAAAGTAAGAATATCAGCAAATGCTGAAGAGCTCAGCAAAGCTTTCAGCAGATTTACTACCTGCTAGAGCACAGTGCTGTTCCTTTATAGAGTGTATTCGACACGGGGTCACTGATGGTTTTTGTGTTAAGGTTTTCATCTTCTGAAGTCCATTTTTTGTAGGATAGCGCAATGATTCAGTCATCTGCCAATTAATCAGCTTACTGGCAAAGCTGACTTATTAATGGTTTCGAATTCTTTTTCTGAAGTTGAGTAGCCAGGAAGAAGGCAAGCTCCAATGGCAGAGGTACTATTTTACTTTTCTGCACTTGACCTAATTTTTCTCACAGCTGATTCTAAATTGCTGTACCATTCAATCTCAGCATATGTTGCATCCTTACATTCCATAGCGAAAAGAAATAATATCGTGCATGAAAACAATTCAACCTCATTCCTCAAAATGCGAGGAATTCGCATACCTCAAATGATATGTTTGGTGCAGTTACAGAGAAATAATTATCTTTTTATCTGTCGCCACAGCTAAATTGTGCAAGAAACTGACAACAAAGCGTATGTACAGAAGCAAACTAAGTGAAACTAGAGAGAAATAGCAATCTTATCAAATATAGATAACCAGATGCTAATCTCCGTTTATATCCAACGACATCAATTACAGTAGTCTTGAACGAACTGCGCAGCAGTTTCGAATATTCTTATAAACCGTGAGACTGCGTTTTGCGGTGCAAGCCAGAAACTGGTGTCGAAATTGAACTGCAAGCAGTATTATGAGACAGTGTTAGCTGAACTCGGTAAGACTTACGACGTCGTCTAGGGTGTTATAGTCGTAAGTTGCGGCTGTGCTGCGTCGACAATCAGCTGGATATTGTGCCTATAATGGAAAAGTTGGTATAATCAGGATCTTGGCAACGCCGAAGACACCCACAAGCGATGTTCTCAGCACTGTGAGACTTGGTGCCAGTTGGTTGAGGGTGTCGGTGTCGAAACTGATACTACTGGCAATGAACTGTATGAAGGACAATGCATTCGATGCACCCCTAAAAATTTCAGTGATTTAGGGGACCTAGGAAATGGTAAGAATAGCCTGCCTGTATATCACAGCATTATTGACATTTGTAGTTCCGGTTAGAGCCGACATGTTATTCAGAACTTGTATGGCATCTGTCACAATTTGCTGCAAAATTTTTGGTATTTGGTACCACTAACACAGACTCATTTTTTACCTGTAGTCCTGCATTTGTTGGAACACTTATCCCATTTGGTACAAGTGGTGTGATTGATCCTGGATAGAATTCTTATTTTGTTACTTGTAAATAGCAAGGTTTTTACCTCCTGGAAGATCTGTAACTCCTGAAGATTCGCCCGATGCCTCTGGGATCCCAGATGATTCTCCAGATGCCTCTGGAGTTCCCGAAAAATCTCCAGAAGCTTCTGGGGCTCCCGATGCTTCACCAGATGCTTCTGGGATTGCCGAATATTCTCCAGACTCTTCACCACTGCCTTCAAACAATGAAATGATGTCTATCAGGATTAAATCTCTGTAATGCTTTTTTTATACCATCAGGGGAGCCTAATCCTGATATCTCGATCGGTGGATAGCCTAGAAATAGCGTTTTACCCTACGAATACATCTCTGCCGGCAATTTTACCTCTTGGGGGGAAAGTCGAAGTCAAATCAGGAGAAATAGTGGACGAAACATCTGCAACTTATTGATTTTTCCTAAAAAATATATTCTCTTATCAACTTGTTACCTTGTCCCGATGGCGGTGCTATTATGATGACGGGAGGTGGGCTTTCAACTAAAACTGATGGTGTGCTTGGTGGTACGCTGCTTCCAAGTCCAGGATTACATACACAGTTGCCTTGAAGATCAAAGAACTAGCTCTAAACTTCTTAAAATGTGAGAAAATTCTACTACCCGATCCGTCAATCGTTCCTGGAGTCGATGATCGAAGGTCAATGTCATCCCAGTAGGATGAACCTTGCGTTATGGGTTCTCGAGTTCGGGTTCGAGGGGTAAGAGTTAGAGGAGGTCTGGTCGGCAATGGAGGAGCTGTAGGCCAGAATATTGGAAATTTGAATGTCGCCTGAAAATAATTTGAATATATGCAGTAACTTAAACTTATCATATTCACCCTCCCTGCGTTATCAGTCTACAAAAACCGTTAAGTGTTTACTACCTCCACAATTAAAGTACTCAAAAGAGACCTTCACACTTTCTATATTTGTAATAATTTTGCGCAGACTTTGAGCTTGTTTAGGCTGTAAAGTATCAAAATTCCAATAATTTAAAAAAAAAATTGAGTTACATATCCATCGCCATTTATCCTCATGAAAAATTTCGAAGATGGCATAGAAAAAGCACATTGCATAGAGAATATCAACAAAACGAATTTTGAGCATGCATTTTTACTAGTATTGAATTATTTTACTAACCATAGTATAGAGAAAAAATTAATGAAGATGGCATGATCGGATGAAAAGGAGTAGAAGGAAACCTACTTCAACCGGAGTAAAACCTGCAATCAGTGCAACACATACCCACGAGCACAACATTTGTGCTATGACTTTCAAAATAGGACTTTTTATATATGATATTTGTGTTATTGTTCATATAAACACTAAACAACAAGATTAGCAGATACATCACTCCGATCTGTTACTTTGCATGTAAATTTATGAGCATGACAGAACGAATAGAACAGCGATTTGATAAACAAAATAAGGAAAAAAAGAGAGGGGGGGGGGTAGGTGGGAGAGAAAGGAAATTTGTCTTGAGTGCAGAAGTCTTTCTTGTTGTCGATTACTCAAACCTTCGGGGATGGCCCCATACATTTTGCAAAGAAGATATTTCCCATAGTAGCGATGAGACCAAATCTCACATAATTTAATAAAGTGTAAGAGTACAGGTCAGAAAAAAAATTTTTGCCCTCTAAGCTCTTACTGATAGCGTTTTTAGAGATGAAACGTTGACTATTAATTTATTACTCTCACACCTTTCGAGTAAATACCAATTTTGGAATTGATTATTACTGCGCATGCAATCCTATTTCGTGTGATAATACGCACCACTAGTTTTTTAAGAGCCCCACTTGATAACTAGCATAATTTCCTTCTTGATTCTGGAAACTTCCATTGTAAATATTTATATCAATCCAAGAAGGGATGGGTGCAAATGTTGATCCTACTTATTTTGGTCATGATTCTTGCATTTTCTATTATATACTTTCATCCAAGCTGGGATAGATCGAATGAAGTTTAGGCCACTCCCTTCCAATATCTAGACAAATGTTGCATATGTCATTTGCATCTTATGAAACATGACATCCATCTGCGGATGATCAATCTCCCATTCGTTCCGTAGTTTGTGTGCGTTCCTTCAGAATTGGTGATGATAGTTAATAATTCACGCAGTATCCAGAGGTCGAGAACAAAATCATTTATATGGAAAGCACAAAAGCTGCAAAATCTCTTGTATAATTAAAGGATACTTTAGCAACAAATTCTCAAAGGACTGGATACCTTCCATGAATGCACCTTCGTTCTTCGAAAAATAATCGACATATTATGTTGTATTTTAAACTAAAAGAAAAGATTCTGAAAGTAAGACCTTCACCAGATTGCTTAGGCTCATTTGGACGAAAATGAGTTTCAGAATTCTATACCCCCTCTCTTTTTTCCACCTTCCTATTGCCTTTGCTCATCCTCCGCTTGCGCACAATCATTATCATCACTTTTCTTTTTGGTTATATCTTTATGACCAAAATATTTGCCCCAGATTTTATCCTTCAAATTTGCAACACTTGCAAAATATCCGGGAGGCAATTGAGGTGATATTGATATCACAGTTTCGAATGCGATTTTTGAGCATTCATACCCCTCACTTATTTTTCTATTGATAGATATGCTCTACTAATAATTTATGTGCATAAAGTAATTAGATAGATTGAGTTAGTCGTGGTCGCGACCAATGCCCCGTAACTGCCGCCCACGCATTACGAGACATGCAAATGTATGTCTATATGAGGAGAAGCAGAGCAGGATTGGATTCTAGGCAAGCATCACATTGATGTGATTATGCCCTATAGCACTAATAATAATCGCAAAAGCTGTGATTCTCAATCATGAAGCAAAGACTGCAAGTTCTGGAAAGCTCACTTCTGAACCTGCCAAGTGCCAAAAATAGGCAATAAGTCCAAGGAGCCACTGCTCAGACAATCGACGGGACCCCTCCGCCGGACCCTCCGAAACTGCCAGAGTCGCGCCGGACCCAGTTGACCAATGAGAGAAGGGCAAATGGGCGGTCCATCGCGGTGACATCACTGGCAGGCAAATGGGAGGCTTCTCCGGCCCTGCTGCAAAGGTCCGCCATTTCTCCGGCGCGACTCTGCCAGATTTGGCGGACTCCGCGCCGGAGAAATTTGCGCGGCGCGTGTCCGCCAAATTTGGAAGAGCCGCGCCGGAGAAAATGGGAGGGGTCCGGAGCAGAAATGGGAGGCCTCCGGAGCAGAAAATGGGAGGTATCCGGAGCAGAAAATGGGAGGTATCCGGAGCAGAAAATGGGAGGTATCCGGAGCAGAAATGGGAGGTCTCCGCCGGAGAAATGGGAGGGCTCCGCCGGACAAATGGGAGACCCACCGCTGGGGAAACGCCGCGACCCTGCCATTTCTCCGGCGGAGGGGTCCTATCCGCTGCCTGAGTGTGATCACTGTTCAGCTCTAATGGCTTCCGAACTTTCTAAAAAACCAGGCTTACACTCTTGGGTTGACTGAGTACCCAATATATTGCAATAAACAAGCGAAGTAACGCCATTATTCTAGGAATTTCAATAGTTTGTAACTTCAAAACTCTTTATCATAAGTTCGCTGGTAGAAAAAAATGAGTATATTCAAGCTGAGAAATGTAGCTGCATTAGACTATCATAGGTGCTGCCATTTACATCTGTTAATACCTGTCAACTGCTTTGCTGAGCATAGACGTCGGAAAAAGGTATATTTTATCAAGATTTTTGTTGAAGTCAAATGTAAATGTAAAACAGATGTCAACCGTAGGTGAGCTACGCGCGTTTCAAGTAATTTGAGCCGCTGTTGAGAACTGCTTTTCAATGTTTAGTATATATTACTTTCCGAAACATTTTGTTTCTCAAAATTGCAAGTTCCATGGTGTACCTGTGATCGTACTAAATAAATATATTGGATAATAATGCAATTCACCATATGTAGTTTAATCAGTGTCTCTCTATACTTCAAGTGGGATGATCCATGAAGCTAAAGGCTAGTGCCGGACGAAGGTGCAAAAGAATGTTAACTGAGCGGGTCCGAAAGCTATAATTCGCGTTTGTTATACTACAGTGTGTGTCAACTGTGTGCTCCCTTCTCCGTAAAAACCACGCATCCGCAGCACGTGGGCATTGCGCAGTGATCTCCATTTGATACGGCAATTCTGAATGCTCAAGCGGTAATCGCGCAACGCGGTCCGGGGCTCTAGCGTTGCGCTTGAGCTAAGGGGAAAGAGAGCACATCGTCGACACTGACAATAGGTTTTGCACCTTCGCCCGGCAGTAGCCTTTATTGGGATAGCCTTTTTGCACCTCTGCGGTGCGCTGCCTAACCGGTTAAATGCAGCACAACTGACATTTTTTTTGAATAGTTCAGCAATAGAATGCAAAGTTGTCTCATACTTCAGCTATTTGGCAGAAGGGCCTTTTTAGGCTGTTCTCCTTTCTAGCGCAACAGGAGAAAACACTCGAAACACGAAATTCAAAACTTGCTCCGTATCCCGCAAATACACAATTCCAAGATTTGTTTTGATTTTCTTGCACCCTTCGTAGCTAAATCGTGGATACTTTTTTGCACATGGAATACAAAAAGGTAAGTCGAATTTCGGGGTGATTGAAGGCACGGACTCCTCTAATTTCCCAACCTTCTCATAGTTTCTCACTCTGCGAATAGAACTCTCGTATGAGACGCAGCGGAGTTCCGTCTGCTTGCAGGAACCCAAGTATAAACGCCTAACATGTTACTCACTTACTATAGAAGCAGAAATCACTTCCATAGACGACTTGTTTTCCAAATTTGGAACAATGGGCTCACAATTTTTGCAGAAAAAGATTGTAGTAAATGGAAAAATTACTCAGCTAATGATGTAAACAAACGAATCAGAACAAAGACGAGTCGAGATCCAGCGGAATCGCATTTGCTCGATTCGATCAACCATGACGTGCCCATCTCATCTGATTAAGCTTGTCATCTATTCGTGCCAACCACCCGTTAACATCTGCTTGCAAAGATAGGTTGTATTTGCATGAAACTTGCAAAATATTAAGAATTCAGACACAGACGTCAGCTAGTGTTTGCGACGTAGTCAGCCATTTTTGTTTCTTAACTTATCTAGGAGGCGGCACGATGTCAAGGAGTCGCTATCGCTTCTTTATTCTATTAGAATGTAGCTCATTGTTCGTCTTGATAACTTGCTCATATGAGTCCTTCGTTTTGGGCAAGCGCCTTTCACTTTGCCCTAGCCCTGTAAAATAAGCTATCGCAATATGTGGCACTCTCTCATAACGAGTGGCGAGCTTCATTCCCAGGTTCTTCTGCAACTCAAAGGCATCAAGATTGTATCACCGCGCAAACGCGTGAGTGCAATGTACACATCAGCATGTCGCTGTTATGGTTACTGTAATCTGGATAACTCCATAATTATGGGATATGTACAAGAGAGGTCTATTGGACATTAATCTTTAGTGAGATATTGTATCATTAGTGTCAAAACTTTACAAAAGACAAAAATGGAAAGAATCTCTTATTTCAAGGTAAGATTGCGCTGGTGTATTCAACACTGATAACAACGATTTTTCTTAACCTTGAGGCGCAATATAGGAAGTGAAAGCTGGTTTGCTACAGTAATTAGATATGCGTACAGATCAACTCGAATTGGTGTGATCTACATGAGTTTTATGGCATCCACATCACCGATTATCGATTAGTTGAGCTTCCACTGTTAAGTTATTTTCATTTCATTTTTGTCACTTCGTAAAGCATCCCTTCGAAGAGATTTCACGTAAGGAAGGGTCTTTGGTGACAACAGTATGTAAAGGCTGCTGCACGACGAAGGCGCAATACCTTTGGGCGCGATTGCTGTTTTATTAGTTGTAGGACGCATTAAGGGCCGGGCATACTCCACGCGATTTCAGTTGCGACGCGATTTGGCAATTCGCCAGAAGTCTTCAGATCCAACACTAGCAAACTGTACATGCAAAGTGTGTATAACTTACAGGAATTGATAAAATGCCCTATCTTTTATACATTTGAAATGTGCTTGCAGTGAGTTATGGACAGTTGGAACACTGCCAAATCGCGTCGCGACTGAAATCGCGTGAAGTATGCCCGGCCCTTTAGGCGCAGGGTTTACAACGGTGAGATACGTGCGCGCCGCGTTCGCGCCCGCTCAGCTGATATATACTACTTCTGCGCCTTCGTCATGCAGCAGCCTTTACCATCTATTTTGAGATTAGGATACTCAAGAAAGCTGTTGCGCGTCGTTTAACTGGCTCGTACCTGTTTTCTCACGAATTTTGAGTGGTAAATTATATGGAACTCGTTAGAGCGCGACATGAACTTGTTAATACAGGAAGCGTTCTCGACTATCTAGAGAATGGATAATGTATTAGGTTGTTGCAAAAATAATGTCCGTTTTTCTAGGCCTAGATTCCAAACAACTTTTCTCCGTCAAACTTTCTATTACAATATAGAATCTGCACATCATTGGAAAGCTTTCTCCATGTACTTTCTAACGGTGGTAAAAATAAGCTGCTATCCTCTTCTGTCAGAATTTCACCAGCATTTTGCACATCCGCACT